GATTTCCATTTCTGACTGTTTGGAAACAATGCAAGAATATAATCAGATTGTTGACTCTGACATGAGACTCATTCCAAATCCAACTGGTGCAAGAGAGCAAAGAAACCCTGATAGAAACATCACACAACCAGCTACTCTAAATGACCCAAGTTGTGATGGCAATCAATTACTGTGAAAAATAAAACACGAATCACAATAGAGTCCATAACCGCAGAATTTCCTGCTTCACTAAGGTGGCAAATGGTAGGACCTAAGCTGGCAGTTTAATTTCAAGAATCGGAACATTTCAGAATAAAACTGCAGCTGAGATAATTGAAACAGCTAAGTGTTCCAGGGCAAGGCTACCGGTGATCTCACAGTTGCTTAATGATCTGAGAAAAAACAAGCAGCATGATCAAGTCTCACTGAATAATTCACAACCATCATCAGGAGCTGTGCTTGTCTCATTATCAAATAACACCGATTCTAAAATTTAATGAAGCCTGACATGCCTAGGTTAGTTCCCTACTCAATAATTTTACTGTCAGATTTCCTAAGGCTTTTTCCCAGGAGCACAGGTCCTGTTCTCACCATCTTTACCCACGCAGGATGACTTGGTTCAAGCTGAGGGACTGAAAAATTAGAGAATTGATGCAGAAGGCTTGGAGGAGACTGCAAACTACAACATATTTCTCCTACACTTCAACTCCAACCAGATCCCTGAGATCCTGAAAACCTTCAGGACAATGTCTTTTACCAGCTGGTACAGCACAGCCATCAAATTTCTGCACATGAGGCAGAATCTGCAATCATGCACAGACTTAGATGGGCTGCAGACTGAATGGAAAAACTTCTCAGTATTCATCCCTAATGAATTTACTAGGGAGATGTACTAAATTTCATACAGCTCATGTGGGGATTCCTCCATTGCTTCATGACAATAAATATTAGTCATGAGATATGTGAGGCCATTAATATCACTTAATGCCACTGCGAGCCTGTGGGCTCTCACAGCCCACACTGTGGCTTCTGTGGGAGCAGTGTAAGCCTAATCCAGGGTGAAACTGAGGTGTTGTTTAACTTGTTTATCATGGATTGTCCAAGGGGTCGATGCCTCTTCAGGAGTTCACTGATGGCACAAAGCTGGGAAGAGCAGCTGACAGTCCTGAGGGCTGTGCAGCCCTTTGGGGGGACGGACTCAGCTTGGAGAGATGGGCAGAGAGGAGCTGTCTGACATTTAACAAGAGCAAATGCAGGTCCTGCACCTGGGCAGGAGCAACCTTAAATGCGTGTACAGGCTGATCTCCTGGACTGCAGCTCTGTGGGGAAGGACCTGGGGGTCCTGGTGGACAACAAGCTGTCCCTGAGCCAGCAGTGCCCTGGGGGACAAGAGAGCCAGTGGAACCATGCGATGTATCAGGAAGAGCAGTGCCAGCAGGTCAGGGAGTGATCCTGCCCCTCTTCTCAGCCCTGGGAGGCACATCTGGAGAGGTGTCCAGGTCTGGGATCATCAGGACAGAAGTGACATGGAGCTCCTGGAGTGGGGCCAGCAGAGACTGCAGAGATAGGGAAGGGCCTGGAGCATCTCCTTGACAAGGAAAAGCTGAGGGAGCTGGGGCTGTCCAGCCTCAAGAGGAGCCCCAGCTGAGAGGGACCCTCAGCCCTGGGTGTCCCTGCCTGCAGGGAGGGCTCAGAGCAGGGCCCAGGCTCTGCTCCGGGGGCCCAGCAATGGCACCAGAGAAACTGATCCCAGGAGGTTCCACCTGGACATGAGGCAGAACTTCTTCCCTGGGCAGTGACCAGAGTGGGTGTGGAATTTCCTCACTGGTGATATTCCAGAACCAGCTGGACACAATCCTGTGCCCTGTGCTCTGGGAAGGCCCTGCTGGAGCAAGGAGGTGGGAGCAGATGATCCACTGTGGTCCCTTCCAGCCTGACCCATCCTGGGATTCTGAGATTATGATTATCTGAGTAATTATCCTTTCCTCTCTCACTCCACCCAAAACCTGCTCAGCAAATATTGCCTGATGCATAAAGAAAAAGCAATAGTTAAAGCTGAAATAAAATTACATACATTGTCACCCATTAAATTTCAAGGTGAAACTGTTGTATGATGATCATAATGTCATCATCTGTGAATAGATCACAGACAGGAAAAGGAGTCAATAAAAAACCAAAAGTGATGAGTGGTGATAAATACACTAAGTTCAGGGCAGGAAAAGCCAAAGTTCTCTGATATTTATATGATTTTTGTCAATACAAGTGGAACAGAACTAGCCTACACTGACACAAAGGGATCTCTGGAAGCTGAGAGGCCTGAACCCAAAGAGCTGCCAGGCAGCCTCTCCTGTAGCCCAGCATCTTGGTTTTGGGTTCAGAACCTTTGCTCTCTTCTGCTCCATCACCAGCATTTTGCTGCTTCCAGGGAGTTGTTAGCTTTTCTAAGTACCTTTCAAAAAAATTGCATCTAGAATGAAAAAACATCAGATACATTCCTGTAATGTTTTGAAAACATTTAAAAGCAGTGCTGAATTCAGCTTAAAGTTATTCTTGGCTGATAGTGCAGTATTTGGGGGCAGGAGAAAGACACCAAAAAGCAACACAATAAAAACGGGTGTGCAGTTGAGCTGGTCAACATTCAAGCAGAATAAACTCAGCCATATGGGGTAAGAAAGCCACCAATCCTCTCTAAACTTTGCTCAAACCTTACAACAAAATTGGAGCAGCACAGGGGATTTCAGCCTACCTATTCCCTGTGTATTTCTCCCATGTTCAACGTATAACAGATGTGATCTTGGGGGGCTGGCGGGTGTCAGAAAAACAGAGGCAAGTCTTCACAGAAAGCAAGAGCGTGAAAAAACTGCTTAGGCACAACTTGCCCACTTCTGAGCGTCATTTCTACTTCCATACTACAAAAAAAATTATTTCTTTCTGAGAACAGAATTCCTTGTGAATCCTTCTATAGCTTCCTCTGTTCATAACTAAAATAAAAACCTTTAATGTAATTTAATTTCCTTTATGTTCAAATATTTGGCAAACAGAATCTTCATGCATTTCAGAGACTCCTTAAAAATTCTAAATGATATTGTCATGGAATTTAAAGCAGAAACATTCTAAAAGTTAAATAACTTTCAAAATACAATTTATTTTTCATGACAGATGTCTGATAATTTGTACTTCATATTTAAATTAGGATTAAAAGTATTTTATCTTAATCGGTTTGTAGAAAATAAACTCACACACAAAAAAAAAATTAACTCAATTTTTTGATAAACCTAGTAGCTTCAGGAAACTGTTTTTTTATAAGGGGATTAATAAGCACATTAAATTGAACCACTGGAGGTTTCCCTATACGGAGAAAATTACTCAGCATGTTTTAAAATTTGTAGCAAGATTTTTAAAATTTGTTAGATCTACAGTGTTGAACTCCTATGGTTTTAGAGAACATGACCCAATTTTACCTCCATAATGAGACCAATTCAGTAAAAATAGGGAAGTCTACCTGAAAGTGATTCAACACTATACTGTGTTATACACTCCAATGTAAAAATAATTTGAATTACATTGATCTAAATTTTTCATCATTTTCAGATTAAATATTTTGGTAATGATTTTTAAAATGAAGACATGAATATTGCAAACATTTAAGTGATGCTGTGAATGAATCCTCATCTCTGACAAACTACTTGCCAAATTCAGCCCAAATCTGGGCATACTTTGATTGCCCTGAAGGTGTAAGGGTTTTTATTCAGTTTTCTAAGCCAGCAGTGCTGATTACTTAGAGGCTAAGGCTGAGGAGCAGATGTTTTCCAAACCATGACATTTTGAAATATTTTTGGTTTGAAATCATCCAAAATTGGAATAAAATCTGCAAAACTGTTGGGAAACACAACTTTTTATAGTTAAGTGAAATTTAGTTCTTGAACTAGATTAAATCATTTAACAAAAAGACACTGCTAACTTCTTTCAAGTATTAACAGATTAAATGAGCTGTAAAAAGAAAAACAAAGTTAGTATATGCATTAGTTGTTCCAGATTTAGGGCTTATAAAATGGGTTAGAAAAGAAAAATGAAGAGATTTGCCTGAGTTACGACTGCTGTAAGGCACAACTGGACCATGCCATGTTTCCATTACAAACCCAATGTCTCCTGTCTGCTCACTAACAAATGACAAATGTCATTTAATAGAAATAAAAATGAAGATCCATTTCTCAAAATTACACATTTGCTCTTTTTCAGGAAAAATGAAAGCATTAACTCCTTCTGAAATCTCCATCATCCTCAGCTTTGCCAGCGTGCAAATATAATTAAATAACAATTTCCTGGGTTTCTAAGCAGTTTGCCAACAGCCTCTGCAACAGGGAACCGGGGCAAATATTTTCTGCTTTGAAGTATCAGGGAAGGCCTGAACTTGTTTATGAATGAGTTTAGGATCCAGTGAACTAGAAAACAACTGTGCCGTAACAATCTGAACTAGAAAAGACAAAAATGCTTTATTCTGGATGACTGTACCCTCTCTCTGTAATGCTAGGCAGTGTTTAACTGCAAATATCTCTGTTACAATTAAGTATAAAAGCTGGTTTATTTATTTTCTGAACTTCATAGGATTTTTACAATTCCCCCCACCCCCCCCACCCCACCCCCCCCGCCATTACAGAGTTATTCTTTGTAGGAGTGTTTGTAGGCAATTGGTTTTAAAAGGGCTCCAGGGGACTTTTCCCTACTGTGTTAAGCTGTTTTGATATTCTTTTACAAGCGCAGTCCTAAAGTGGTTCTCCCTGATGCATTGTCTCACTAATCAGCTTTATGAGGTTCAAGGTCACCATTCAACATTAATTATTCATTGTACAATTCACAGCTGGGGATGATGCTGAAAATGGCAAATCATATGAGCATGGAAAAACACATTCACAGAGCATCTTCCCCATATTTCTTCAGATCAGAAGGAACAAGAATTCCAAAGGGGAAAAAAAAAGTATGGTACTGTGGAAATCATGCATGAAGATCACCTTCAGGATTACCTGTGGCTTTCCTGACTTTATACAGACGTTTCCAGTGACCTTAAAATTAACAATAAAAAAAAGCATGTTGAGGGTACTGATATCAAAACAGTCCTATGCCCAAGCTAAGGCAGCCATAATGAAATCACAAAGAGCAAAGTATTAAAAATGCATTGATTTACAAAGTTGAAATGCTTCAGAGATAAAAATCTATCTGTAAATGAAAATACGTAGCATGGGAAGAGGGTATAAATATCTCACCTTATAGTAGTCCTTGTATGTGTTTTAGATGTGTGCAGTGTCAGTTTTGGAAAGGTTTTTTGCTTCTTCAGGCAAGTCACTTTGACAGTGGCAGGAATGATGTCATCAGCAAAAAATCAGCCTTTTTTTCAAAGGGCTATTTAGATTTTGGCAAACTGGCACGGGCAAGCCGCTCCAACAGATCTGCCTGCTCTCTCCTCTGCTGTGCTCATTCCTTAACTTATTAAGAATTCAAGAACAGTTGAGGCTTTGAAACTGTGCACAACCAGAGCAACTCCTATTATAAGTCTAATTATTCTCAGTTCCCTCCATACACATTCTAACAAACATAGCACTTCTCTGTGTATAATATAGGTTTAACTGAACCTTTTTTAATGATAGTACCATATTAAAGACCTTCTGTTTTCTTTTCTGGTGCCCTGTTTTGCAGTTAAAATACAAAATACTTGCTGCCTCTACTCAATCACACTTCTGAAATTACCTGGGTCTCCTGATAGTGCTTTAGCAATTATTTTTATCTACAGCTGGAATGCTTTTCTTTCCTCTGCATCCTAATTTCTTGATTTGTTTAGATAAAACATGCTAAGCTGATTTCAGAAATATGGTTTACAAAGTGCAGGTCACTGACAGATGTTATTTAATATTTTCAGGCTGATTCTGTGTGTCCAGAAAAGTGGGCCCTGTGCTGATCCTCTTGTCAATAACAACTGAGCTGACTAATCAATCTGATTCAATGCAAATATTGAAATTGATACCTTAATTTTGGCAGAAAAGTATTGTTTAGGTTCCTTTCACAAGCAAGTTGTATTTTAAAACATTATCAAGTCCTACATGCTTGCAATCACACACACGTACATCAATAACCATGTGCATTTAAAAAACCTTTTTTGGTAATCAAGAACACTCAATTTTTCTGCATTAAAAATTTTTGATGATAGATTGGGAAAAACTAAAGCAAGTTTTAACTACACATCTTATGCTGCCTGCATGCTATGTTTCTTTCTTTAAGAACTGAATGCTTACAGCACAGAATTTCATATCCAAAAAATAGGCAGGCAAATAAGCCATATAAATACACAGCTGAAAGAAACCAGTTTTTACTTCCAGGTCTGTTTTATGCAGGAATGAAGCATATGAAAACACAGTTTCTCTGAGTTGACAGAGAGCAAGTATTTTAAATCATTAAAACAATTTAGAATATGAAATGTTATGTCCTTTGATATCATTGTAAATGATTTTTTAAAATCTACATTTTAACTTTTCCATAATATCATCAACATAGTTAATTTTGACTGAAAATTAAATCATGGTACTCCTTGTCCCCTGAAATATATATACTTTCCAAATTCTGTCTAGAAAGTGTGCAGATAGGCTGACAGAGTAAATTTGAGATATCAGCTATCCCTTTTTCTGGTTTTCTTTTCCTGTTTAGAGTTCTGTCATTTGCTCCATGGCACCTGTTAGGATCAACATCATCTCTGTTACTCTCAACAAGCAAACCAAGCTTGAAATTTGAGCAAATACAGGTCAGTGCTGGCTGCACCAGCCTGTGCTGGAAGGCAAAAGGCACTGATGGCTCTGAAGTGCAGGACAATGACAGTGGCTTTCATTTACCTGCAGGCCTCCCGCTGCTTTTCACTTCCCAGCTTTAATAAAACCTGTGCCTCCTCCACTCCCAGAGTTATGTATCAGCCAGGGGACAGTTCCTACCCTCCAGCACTGGGGATCGCTTCCTCTGACATCAAATCGGGAAGGAAAAAGGAGGCATTATGTTTTAGCCTGCTCTTGTTCAGAATCTCTCCTCATGCAGTCCCTGAGCAAAAGTGGTTCATTGGGAAAAAAAAAAAAAAAAAGGAAAAAAAAAAAAACCCCAAAAAACCCCCACAAAACCAAAAACAAAACCCCAAAACAAACAAACAAACAAAAACAAACAAACAAAAACAAACAAAGCAAACTTTTCTGCATTTATGTTAATTTGGAGTTTATACCAGACTATGCCATGATCAATGTGCAATTTAACTTTTCAAGTTCGCTGCTTCAGTTTTCCCTTTGATTTCTGTTGATGTAAAATGCATTAAGTGGCTGACTTGAAAGAACAGTCGGTGTGGATATTTCTTGTTCAGCATGGTGGTCTTTGCTTAAATGAGCTGCTTCTTTTGTGTTCTATTTTTTCTGTAGTTCACTTACTATCTAAACATTCTGTTCTTAACCTCCCTGTCTCACCAATCATCCTTACAAAAAATTATACATTCTTGTATAAATTACTCTCATAGCAAAGTGTAATATATCCCTAGAATATTTTTCATTTCTGTAAAAATGCAAAGTCACAGTGTTTCCAAAATGATTTGCTGTCACATCAAATAGTATTTTGAGAAATTAACAATAATTAAGACATTCGAATTCTAAGACATTAGCAATTCTACTCTCAAACTATGGAGGAGATGGAAAACACATAAGAAGGTTAATTTCCTTTCTGAATTTTACACCAGGGGTTACCTCTCTAGAAATTAAAAGTGGCTAGGTTATTATCCAGACAAATTCAATTATATTTCTACCATGGTGATTTTCTTCTATATTTATCATCCTCATATTGATTGCGTTCAGGGCATACATTTCTAAAATATTGCTCCCTTGAGCAAAGCAAGGAGGAAAAAGGCAGAAGCAGCTTGTTTGCAAAGGCTGAGATACACAGCAGCTCCTCAGAGTGCTGTGGGCATGAGCTGTCACTGCTCCACAAGCTGGACCAGCTCCTCCAAATTAATGCAGAACTCCCAAACTTAATAGAGATGTATTAATTTATGTTGCTTGAGAATCTGGGACAGATTTTTGGATCAACAAACACACAACAAGAAGCAACTGCTCTGCAGTAATTCTGGGTGGAACACTCTGACCTGTGCTCAGGCTGAGTGTGGCTCATGGATTATAAATAGGATTCCTCATGGCTCCCTTCCACAAAAATGGAGACAAAGGACACCCAAAGCACAGCCTGCAGCAAGTGCTGGGGTCACAGTTTAGAAATTACATCATGGTGCTGCAGTGAGCAACAGTCTGGCTGCAGTGCAGAGTGTATCAGAACTCCACCTCAAACATCATTCCTAAGAGACAGCCCACAGGTATACAAAGACTCCTGTGGCATTACTGGAGATGCAGGACATATTCCTATTCCTGCTGGTGTCTGTTTTCCCACCATACACACATAGCACTGTGTTGGAAAGCTGGCAGCAATGTGCATTCATCCACACTGACAGCTTGAGTGGATAATGCCACTTGTTCTGACTGCAAATTTCTGAGAAGCTTATGCTGAAGATTATGAGTTTTTTCACAATTCTCACCAGGAAAACACCACAATACCATAAAATCCCATAGATCTTCCAGGAAAAGGGCAGACAGGACTTGCAAAAAATTGAAGATGGTGCAAAGCTTTTTCCAGTTCATCCCACTTGTGAGCTCACATTCTATTGCTGAGAAATCACAACAGGACCCAGAATACTTCACTGGAGCGTTTGGAGGCTGCTGCAGTGCAAAGAGTTTGGCAAAGCCTTCTCTTCCCTGTCTCACCTGGGTGCCCAGCACAGCTACTTCCCAGCTGTGGCAGGTTCTTGCTGGCTTTGCACCTGCAGCTGCAGCTCCTCCTGTCTGCTGCTGGCACTGGTGGCCACAGGAAAGGCAGGTATGGCCACAGTGCAGCTGATCTGTGCACAACTGGCTTTTGGCAGAAGGGCAAAGTGACACCACAGGACTCCAGCAGGATTTGAAAGCACTGTTTGGTGCTTGGTATATTTGTAGAAGTATTGGCAGACTGCAGCAGAGGAAACAAAAGGGAAAAAAGAGTAAATGCTGTGGGCAGCAAAGGCCAGCATTCCACATCACTGCAGCACCCTTGAGACATCAGGGCCGTTGTTTTTATAAAGGAATTTTGAATTTCCCACAAGGCCACTTAAGGAATCTGAAGTGCCATGTGAAAAGAAAACAATCTGCTCTTCATGAGCTGGTATGGCCCTGTCTGGCAGGAATATTAGTGGAATGATGTAGGAGAAATGGAGAGCAGGATAGTGCAGAGATGACATTGCACAGCTGCTGTTGCTTTTGTTTCAGCAGTTTCAGACTGATTTACACACAGAAGGAAAAGATACAGGTGCACTTGGGAGAATCAGAAAGGAAGGCAACTGCCTTTTGATTTTTTTTTTTTTACACTGCTGAATGGCTGTCTCCTCACAGCAGTGAAAAAAGGGGGAGAAAACCAGAAAGAAACACAAAGAAAATTGGGCATGGACAATAAATGTGGCCTTGTATCACAGACTCTGTGAGCTGGGAAGGCCAGGAGGACTTCATTCCCTTTCCAGTCCTTCCACTGGGTGAACTATACAGCACACATCCCTCTTTATGTACGAGACTCCACCTGCAAAATGGAACGGCATCAACAGTCTCTTCTGGAAAATGTTTTGAGACCTACTGGTAAAAAAAAAACCCAAAACCCCAAACCAAACCAGCCCAAATAAGCAACCCCCCAGAAAAATAAATTCACCATCACGTAAAGTTAATTTTTTCATTTGAGTTGCCCGAGAATAATGGTTGTAAACTTCCGGGCAGTATAACACTTAACAGTCCTTGCATCTGGTTACGATGTTGTGATTCTACCTGGCCAAGGTGAACTACAATAACAACTTGCTTTTTGCACCATTTTTTCACCAACAGATCTCAAAACACTTTACAAAGGAGACTGTAATGGAAATAATATCACCTGACTCTTCACATACTCAGGCTAAGCAAAAGATTGGTGTCAAACTAAGGAAAAGAACCCAGAAACTGAGATTCATTTTTTTTTGTACTCTAAACAGGAAAGGAAATACTTTCGAAATAGAAAATTAACCTGACTTTTTCCCTACTTCCCTTTAGAAAACAAGGCAGTAAAACAAGCCTTTGTTTAGCCAGGGGTACTTTTATCTACTCCAAGTCAGTTTTACAGTAGTATTTTCTATCTGCAACAGATACAGAAAAAGATAATACTCTACAGAATGGCCTGTATTGCTTTTATTGTTGAATTTTAAATGTCATATCTGTACACACAATAGGACAAAAGAGAACAAGAAAAATAGACTGAAATTTAGACAGTGAATTCCTATCTACTACCCATATAGTGTAGGGCACACTAGCAATAAACACAAAGTGGAAACACAAGTTAACATTCCAGTAGAGATACCCCTTAAATATG